CAATCTGCTTAAAAATCCGGCAGTGTTGAAAATAGGACAAGAAAAGTTTACATTAAATTAAGTTCAAAACGTATAATTGTTCAAGAATATAACATTCGTTTCCTCTTCCTGTTCTGTTATTTCATGATATATTTTGGTTGCAATTCACTCGAAATTAACAATTTTAACACCATGATTTGCTATAATTTGAATATGGAGTTATTTCCTTTCAGAACGATATGTCATTCTTTGAATAAATAAACAGGACTTTACCAAGTTTCAATGAAAAATGCTTCTGGGCATAACTTAACGACCTTTGTAACTTTAACTCAGTTATAATGCAAACTACAGTTTGTTAAAACATTTAATTGATTTCATAGTAATCGTGTGTTTTTGTCAATTAGGGATTTTCTGTTCAATTTTCCTTCTTTTAAAAATCATGAAAATATTCTAAAAAGTTTTAAAACAATCTTTTCTTCCATTTATTTGATTGAAATAGTTCCAGAAATAGTCGTTTACGTAGTTAAACATTCGAAACAAATAATAATCCTAACCCTCACCCTGACTACAACCCTAACGCTAGCACTTACTATAGCTCTAACACTTGTTCTGACTATAACCCTAACCTTAACATTGACTATTACCTTAACCTTATCCTGATTCTAACTCTAACCCTTCTCCTGATTATATACCTATATAGAGTTATTTCCTTTCAGAACGGTGGTCACATCTTGAAGAAACAAACCAGACGATACTATGTTTCAATAAACTATGTTTTTTTATGTACTGTTGTTTGTCTGTTTGTCTTTTTCTTTTTTAGCCATGGCGTTGTCAGTTTATTTTCGACTTATGAGTTTGAATGTCCCTTTGGTATCTTTCGCCTCTCCTCTACAGTCTGCTAAAACATTGAATTGATATGAAAGTAATCGTGTGTTGTTCCCAATTGTTGATTTTCTGTACAATTTTCCATCTTTAAAACTCTTTATAGGATTAAGACAGAAACAATCCTTTTTTCCATTTATTAGAGTGATATACTAGTAGCAGAAATCGTCTTTAACGTAATTCCAACTTTCGAAACAGATAATGCGAAGTAATGTTAGTTTATCGCTTCAATAAAGGGAGGACGTTAAGCAACCAACAATCAATCAATCAATAAAGGGACATTATTGTAGTTAAAATCATATAATATATAATATTATATCCTGTTTTTTTTAATTACATGAAATGCAACGAAATTCCCTATTGTCACTGACTTGATAGCTTGAAAGAGCACTAACAACATACGAGGTTGAGCTGAAGATTATGATCTTATCCACATCAAGCAATTTAAAAATGATGAATACTAGTAGTCAGATATTATATATTCAAGGTACAAAATGATGAAGATATGTATACCTATATATATCAGGAAAACTATTTTATTGAAAATTACAACAATAGGTTAAGCTACAATTATTGACAAAAGGTAAAAGAGAGACGAAAGAAAACAAAGGAACATTCAAACTCATAAGTCAAAAATAAACTGACAAGCCATGGCTAAAAAAGAAAAAGACCAACAGACAAACAACAGTACACAAAACACAACATAGAAAACTGAAGACTGAACAACACGAACCCCACCAAAAACTGGGGGTGAACTCAGGTCCTCCGGAAGGGTAAGCAGATTCTGCTGCACATGTGGTACCCGTCGTGTTACTCATGTTAGTACAAACCCGGTAGTAAGTCTAATTCGGTAGATCACAGAGGTGAAATATGAAAAATACCTAACTCTAAAATTCTAAACGGAAAGACCCTTATCAAATGGCAACATCAAAAGGTTCAAACACATCAAACGAATGGAAAATAAACGTCATATTTCTGACTTGGTACAGGCATTTATGTAACAAAATGGTGGATTAAACCTGGTGTTAGACAAAGGAAGATAACTCCTAATTAAAAATATTGCCTAAATTGTTTCATTACTCAATTGAACATGTAAAATACAATTGTAAGTTCTCATTACAAAATGATTGAAATCTTTTCGCTTCCATGCTTGCAATCACTTTGATTTTATTGTGTTGTTGGATTGTTTGTTTTTATTATTGGCGTATCTCCACCTTACACATTCTACTTTCAAATTCTAAATCATCCCTTTAAATGATAATAAAAACATCACATTTATAGTTCAATCACTGAATGTGGACTACACTGTGATTATATGAATAATAATTAAACACAAAACATATTTATCTTTAAGTATTTATAATCCCTATTCCTAAATTCCTAAATGAAAAGTTTGGTAAAAGTTTCATTTGTAATAAAACTTTTAAAGTAGTAAAACATCAGCAATTTTGAATTTGCAATTTTATATTTAATTGTTACAATCACACGAGAAAGTGTTTGCTATTATTTCAGGAAGACGTTCATTTTCATTATATGGGGTATTTAGCTTCAAACGAAAGTGTTAAAGTATAATATAAAATTATGCTTGAAATAGTTGTTAATTATGTGCAAATGTAAATGTTTTTCATCAATTACCATTATTAAACATGGTTTTGATATTAAATTTTATAAATGATAAGAGTAATTTTTTGTTAAAAAAAATGACAAAATTGCTTAGTTTTCTTTAATTTATATTTAAGAGTTTGAAATATACATTGCATGCAAGAAATCCATTAAAAACTTGAGACAAAATAAAGCTCTTACTGCACACTTCCTTCAAAACTTTGCGACAACAAGCAATCGTTTCCTAACGAAAGGTAATTCAAATCTTTGTTATATTTATCACAATATCTCTGTGTTATATCAATGTCTACATTTAACTAGCATTTGCGATACAAACAGACATAAAAAAATTGAAGCCATTTTATTCAATACACCAAAGAAAGGTCTTACACATGGGACGGGGTTTTGTTAAAATTATGCCCTGTTTACTTTGTTAAATGATTCTTTTTGCTTGATACAGTTTTTGTTTTTATATATTTTTCACACTTTTAAAGTACATTGTAGCTAAACAAATATTTTCATCTTGCTTTTTTCTTTATGATACATATAACCTATTTCTCTAATGTTTCGTGTTCCCATACTACATTGCCTTTGTCTGTTTGCTGTTCTAATATTACCTTGTCCTCTTCTGGTTTTTGTTTTCATACGACCTTGTCTTCATACCAATAATTAGTATAATGTCTACAACTATTCGGATGGCCATACTTAAAGCATGTATGTTTTAAATTACCGTGGCAAAACTTTTCTTATACTTTGTAGATTGTTTAAGAGTAAAAAGTGGTGGTCATGCTTCCTATTACAATTTCTTTGAAAAGGTAAGAACTGGAAAATTGAAACAAAAAGTATTATACATTTTTAAATTATTTTTTGGGGAAGGAGGGCGATGGGCTTAATATGTGTTTGTGTATCATTTTGGGAGTTCTCGCAGTAGTATAATGTATCTTGGGTTTTTCATTTATAGGGGTCTCTAAGTACAATGATATTCGTTAATGCATCTTTTTGTTGGGTTCTCTCAGCAGAATAAATATCGGGTAAGTGATTGTATCAAAAAAAAAAAAAAATCTATCGAACGGAGGGGTTCTCACAGTAGTATATTATCATATATGTATATTTGTGGGGTTCTCTCAGCAGAATAAATATAAGGTAAGTGAATGTATCAATTCAAAACAAAATTTATATCGAAAATAAACTCATCATAGATACCAGGATTGAAATTTTATATTTGCGCCAGACGCCAGAAAGGAGGAATTCTCTCAGTAATTTATCAATATTTATGTACGCGTCTACACAATACTCATCAGTGACGCTCGAATACAAAAAGGTGAAAGACGAAACCAAGTACGAAGTTGAATTAATATAGGTTAGTGGATCTTTCTAGATATTCAACATTTTAAACATATTCATGACAAGGAAACAATACAAAATAATATCGTACAATATATCATTTTTACAAAAGATTTTGCTTGAAAATATAAGATATTTTATAAACAGCAGACCAAAAGATAAAGATAAGTAACATATTGTGGAAGGAAGTATCAAGGTCAAAAGGTGAGGAAGAAGTTTTTGTTTTTCCATCTTTTACAACTTTGCACTTGTTAGTTTTTGTCTCACCTAATTTGAGTGAAATAGCAAGAATTAGGTCGACTGTTTTTCGGCGTCTGCGTTAGCCATGTGTTGAAGTTTGTGATTAGGATTGTTTAAAAAGAAACACTTATGATAAGTCAATGATATTTTGTATGCAGTTGTATATGCGTTGGTACATTTCATTCTAATGGAGATTATTTGGCCCTGACCCCTCAGTCATAGTCTATTGACTTGAACAATTTTGCATAGTTTACCTGTTAAACTTGTGATTAGGCCAATTTAAGGTGAAAACCACTTATGTTTAGTCGATGATATTTGGTTCGCAGTTGTATAGGCAAAAATACTCCTCATTTCCATGAGATTGTTTGGCCCAGTCCTCTCAGTCATTGTCTAATGACTTTGAACATTTGTCTAGTTTACCTGTTACAGTTTGTGATTATGTTTGTTTAATGGAAACCACTTATGACTAGTTTATGATATTGGTATGCAGATGTATCAGCATTGACATATCTTATTTCCACTGAAATTGTTTGGCTTTGTACCTTTAATCATATGGTTCATTGACTTCAAATATGCTGCATTATTTACATGTGAAAGCATTTCTATTTTAATTTCAACTATAAAATAAACATACAGTCGAGACATATCCTGTATCAAAAGTTTTCAATGTAACATACCCGTAATAAAAATTTCATCACATAAGTTGCATACGTTCATAACAATGAGTAGTTCGAGTAAAACAGATAATCCCTGAAAATGACTGATTATTGTAAGACTAATCAGAAGGGATGTACATTGAAAGTAATGATGCAGAAACAAAATGATCCTACCTGGAGAAACGTGAAACTGAATTACAACGGCTAGGTATATGTTAAAACAGAAGATGGGTTACAACTTATTATCAAATAAGAATATGTGGTATGGTTCACCAAGTGCAAAATATAAGTATCGACATGATGTAGGACCATAAGTGTTCTTGACTCTTCAGCAATGCATATGTAACGATGTTTGACTAATTAGATATTGTCAGGACTAGAGTTACAACACCGAAAATAGGCAGACAATTTGTAATTCCTTTGTTTTAACTGTGATTTTTAGTAGCTGCTTTTCAGTAGTACTGTACATACATTTTAAGTTCCTTTCCTGTTGCATTTGTATTAAAACATTTGGCTGCTCTTATTTACAATTTTGTATTCCTTATTCTTATCTAACAGATTAAAACTTAAAACTTATAACATATTTAGATAGATTTAAATTCTGGCAAGCAGACAGCGATGTTGAAACAGTATAACTAGAACTGGGTTTCTTTTCTTTCATATTTTGTACAGTTATATAACTTTATGAAGAATTGCACCCAGGCTTTGTGAAGTCTATAAATAGTCCTGTCCACAACAGAAAACAGTTCAGTTTTAAAAAAATCAAATGGTAAAATCTTCATAGTTCTTAGTTCAGAAAAGTTTCTTTTTAAAAAACATTTTGCAATTTGATTGTTTTGTCGTCAGTTGATAATAGGTTTTATTGATGACATGGTTATATAAAACAAATTGTGCTACACCTGATGAGCCGATTTCAAGGTGTTGGCTGCTCGGCGACAATATCTAATTAGCCTTGGAAATATATTATGAAGATTATAAATGTTCCCGCCGAATCGTCAGATAAATCACTCCGTTGAAAATTCCACAGCAGAAGTAGCACAAGCTATAATCTCTAGCAATATTTTTGGTGGTTCGTCGATAAATGTCCAAAATGCATGAACTGCTGAAACTGAAAATCGCAGAATGAAGACAATTATAAGAAATGACATATTTGTAGTTGCGACGATTATTCGCTTTGTGGCATTACTATGCTCTCCTAACGTTTTATTTAGTTTTTTGCCTGTAGTATAAACTTTGTACCAGATCATGAAGGATAAAACAGTCATAACGACGAGAACTATAGCAAGCGGCACGAAGATCAATAAGAAGTTCCACAATAATCCTTTTCCTTCTTTCAATCCGCAGCTGAAATTGAAAAAAAAATCGTTTCGTTACACTATGACATGATGTGAATTATTCAAACAGTATCAAAGCAATAGCGCTGCAATGAAATCGATATTTTTAAATCAGGAAATGGAGATTGAAAGCAAAAAAAAAAATAATTGTTCCGTTGGTTGACGAGGTCGAGGTTTTGGTTTTGGTTTTGTCAGTTGTTATGGACCCCCTTTCTATATTTACCTTGGCGTCCGGTAGTTTTGTAATTACATTTTTTCCGTGTGTAATTATAGGAAGAAAATGTATTTCAGATCAAACTCCATAATAAACTCAAGTGTGTCCCGAACGACACAAAACATATTAACAAAAGATGATGTCATAAGTTTCTTGTTCAGAGGGAAAAGCAAACCTTATGGGGTTGATCAGAAACACGAATCATGCATGAAACTCGTTTCTCCGTCAACGTCTCGGCATGAATTATTTCCTTATTAAACTTTTCAGTTTCCATTGTTTGTTATTGTGTCATAAAATTACTTTATGCCATTGAACTACGTTTACTCTTGACTACTTACAATGTTGGTTTCGTTTCATAGTATTATGCCAGACTAGTGTACGCGTGCGTGTCGGTAGTTTCAAGATCTTAATCCCGTTCAACACTACAATTTACGATCGGCCTCTAATAATGACATTTTTTTTTATCAAAACCGAATACTAATTATTTTAGATTTTTTTTCATTTCTCAGCAATCAAGGTATGGTTTGATCTATCGTTCACAATTTTAAGAAATATCGAAATTGAGATTTATTTATAAACATTGTTTCAATCATTTTCTTTGAAATATTATGCAAGACATATAAAATAACATTATACATGCATAATAATATTACTTTGTTTGGTTAGAGTATGAACTGTTTATCATGTTGAAGCTATTTTAATCGATGAATGCGTTTATATATGTATATATTTTGCTGTTGACTGTGTCCTGTTATATGTACTTGTGTTAAGGGCATCTATGAATATTAAACAAGTTGTAATTCATTTACCCTTTTAAATAATTAACTTATCATGATTCATTATTATCATTATAATTATTATTATTATTATTATTTTTGTTATTATTATTATTATTAGTAGTAGTAGTAGAAGTAGCAGCAGTTGTAATAGTAGGAGTAGTGCCACAACGACCACGACGAGAATAAATATATTTAAATGCCTGCTAAGATTTGTATATTATCTGCTACTCTTACAAAACACGTACTCGTTAAATCACCATAGATGTCTTCTGGTCTATTTTTGTCGTTGTGCTTTCCTTTTATCAAGTTCACATCATGAATTCAGTACAACTTAATATCAATTAAATATGAAGTTGTTTTCTTTTCGTTCCATTGGTTGATATAGTCGACCGTTTGTTATGTTTTTTTTTATGAAGTTTTCCCTTTTTTAATTTACCTTGGAGTTTTGTATATTTGTAAATATTTTTCTTTCTCATTAGACAAGACCCACGTGCTGGATACTAGATTCGAGCTAAGTATACGAGCTGAGATAACCTCAGTTTCAGTACCAGTAACATTTCTATTTTATTAAGGCTGATTTTAAGCGACGCAAGATAACATGCTTAGTTTACAGTGAAGTTGTCGGATATGGTTTATATATTTTGAAATTTCAGCATCAATGATAATTACTGCGCATCAATCAGATCATGTGGAAATCACTCTCCTTGGTTTTACCTGATACAGGATGTTACGTTTAGAAGTTGAGAATGGTGTTCCTTGGTATGATTGTTTGGTGTTTTTGGTTGTTTTAAAGACGATGTTTTATTTGTTTACTGAAAATATATACCAGTATGTCGATCTAGGCAAAGTTAATACAAAGTCTCCAATATTTTGAATGTCATTTTTGGTCTTTGGTGGAGAGTTATTTCAAAGGCAATAATTATAGATTATCGTTGATCATCTCAACGAGACTGTTTTTCTCGTTTGAGCCGGTACGGCGAAAGTGAGAAAAGCAATCGAGTTGAGATGACCAATGATAATCTGTTTATCGCTATTTTACCTATGACGACGTTGTTAATTTCAATGACAACGGGCACATGCACCCTTAGTTTCTAGCGTATAATTTTTCATATCCCTCTACTGTGCTGAGAAAGGAAATTATCAGTCAGTAAGATGAAAGGAAAATTTCGTAAAATAGTGATAATACCACATATTGCTGTATGTTATAATATTTGATTTTAATAAAAAAAAAAAAGGCTTGCGCATGATTTCGAACATTAAAATATTATTTAAATGGTCAGATTTGTTTTGCTTTGTAGACATGGTCAGTATTGATTGGAATTTGCAAAAAAGATATATATCAATTTACTTACTAGATACCATAAGAACCCATTCATTCAAAGAAAGTAGCTACAACAAATACTATTAATCCATCCATAGACATGAACACAAACAGCTTCCAATCGTAGATTCCTAGCCTTAATTGTTTTTGTTTTAGGATATTGATACATGCTGTAGTTGCAACGACTTTACTCAAGCGGCACTGTGCATAAGCGAAAAATAATAGAAAAAAGCATACACTGTACAAAGATCAGGTGAAGGAACAGTTCGCGTAATTCAATAATTTGTGATACATATTATCTGTACCACGTAAAAACATTATATCACAAAATGATGAGACGACGACAAAACGTTAGGTTTCCATTTGAAATATTTTTGTTTGTTTTTCCTAAATCGTTAACTGAAATTAAACAAATGAAGTATGGATTATGCTTCATTATAGAATGATATATGCAGTAATGGGAATGGCATACGATGGCACTGGAATGGCATATGTATCTTATGACTTAACACGCCAGACAAAAACATAAACCCACAAATTAACAATCTAAAGGTACTAGCAGCAACATACAGATAGGTCTATATACCAGCTTTGATAAGTGTTTGGTATTACTATAAATTTTCACTTCGTACTATGAACATCAAAATTATTTATTTTGTAAAAATATTTCCTTTCTCTATTGGAACTGTACACGTATACCTAACAACAAAATTATTTTCATTTACCTGTGTTTAAAGTTATTGCAAATGGCTGATATTTTTGTTCGAGCATATTGTTTTGCTTTAATTGTTTAACATTTCATACCAATATAACATGTTACTTTTATTATTCTTCCCTTAGTTTATTTATTTTGTATTTACATTGTATCATAGGTCAAATTCATTTGTTCAGTGAATGTTCAAAGGTGTTAATATGTCCTTTGATTGAGTTAAGCTATTTCAGTTGATATTTTATAGTGTGTCTTTCTATGTTGTGATGTTACACTATTGTTTCAAAAAAAGGGTGAAGGTTTGGTACCATTAAAACGTTTAAACCCGCTGCATTTGATTGCACCTGTCCTAAGTCAGGAATCTGATGTTCAGTAGTTGTCGTTTGTTGATGTGGTTCATAAGTGTTTCTCGTTTCTCGTTTTTTATATAGATTAGACCGTTGGTTTTCCCGTTTGAATGGTTTTACACTAGTAATTTTTGGGGCCCTTTATAGCTTACTGTTCGGTGTGAGCCAAGGCTCCGTGTTGAAGACCGTACTGTGACCTATAATGGTTTACCTTTATAAATTTTGACTTGGATGGAGAGTTGTCTCATTGGCACTCATACCACATCTTCTTATATCTATATTTATCTGGCAATATCCAATGGGTTAAGCGATAAGACGTCATGACCAGTCGGAGAAAAGCATGAGCTTCTCAATCCAAAAATATGACAGAATGAAGGACCAAGAGTGTTCAAAAGCTGCATTTTTAATTTTGTTTAAATCAATTCTAATACAATATAGCGGTGAAGACAATAGGCAAAGATCTTACAACAGTGTAACAATGACAATCTTTCAGAATTTTTATATTCAAAGGATCAAAAATTTACATTGATCTTATCTAGAGTGACAGACTCTTTAACACCATCCCCATCAAAATAAGGATGTAATATCTTGTTTTGTAATAAGGTTTCAACAGGTACAGCCAAACTTCCTTCCTAAGCTTTTTATCAATGAACAAATTAAGTAGAAAATATGTTGCTATACACATATTATGTACATTGAAATCGAAAACGTCACTCAAATTTTGCGGTCGCTATCACGAGTAGGTTGACCGTTATGGAATATCCGTTTCACAAATGATAGCGGCTTTGTTCCAATTGTCGTAACTACAATCCCGTCTCCCTTCCCCCAAATGTAAATTACCGAATAAGACTTATTACCGGGTTTGTACTTATATGAGCAACACGACGAGTCTGCTCACCCTTCTGGAGCACCTGATATCACCCCCATGCATGGTGTTGTCAGTGTATTTTTGACTTACGAGTTTGAAAGTCCTTTCGGTATCTTTTGCCTCTTTTTTTACAAGCTGTGAATTATACATATCGTTGGCATATGTACTTTTTAATTACTAAATAAGGCTTTATATGAGGTACAGCAAATCAATTTGCACTCAGAATTTTCATATGCCGAATTAAGTGTATAAAACAAAACTATTATTAGGTAAGATTCTCCGGGCGTGTAGTGTACAGAGAAGAAAAGTCATATTTGTGTTCGAGTTATAATGACAATCAAAAGCAATCATTTTTTTTCAACACGCAAGGAGGTTTTTACACTCCAAAAATAATAAAAGGTAATTACTTTGTTTAAAACATGAACAATAAGTCTTTTTAATTGCAATGATGGGAACAAGAGAAAAGAATAGAATTACTAATTTACAACACTAACAAGACGACGAGATGAAACGACTATTTACGGTGTTTTTAGTAGTTTAGAAATCAATACATAGAAAGGACTTTCAAATGTTGCATTAACTGTCAAAATGCGCATCTGATGCTATAAAACAGGACCGTTAATGTTATCAAAATAAGATGAGCAGTTAAATATACAGTAAAAAAAGTCCGAACCGTGCCCTAATAAGATATACCTGGAATGAAGCAAATTTCTAAAATTAAAGACAGTTATCTTAACCTCCCCACTCCATTCCCAAAGATTTTCGTTAAATGTAACAAGAGACCAAATAAACGAACAAGGAAACAGAAATGTATATTTGTTGATTGTCTTTATCTTTCAATAAAAGTTTGATCTGATAAATATGTTGTTTTATTTCTAAATATTGTTTTGAAAAAATGGCAGTGAATATTACTTTTTCAAATGTAAACAACACAGATCATTTACTTGGTACCCAATTTGGCCTTTAAAACTTTTTTGATTCGAACGTTAGTGGTGAGTCTATAGTAGACGAAACGCAAGTCTGGCGTATTCTAGAATGTAAGCCAGGTATCTATGATGATAAAATTGAGAATGGAAATGGGGAATATGTCAAAGAGACAACAACCCGACCAAAGAGCAGATAACAGCCACCAATAGGTCTTCAACGCAGGAAGCAAATTACGAATCCGGAGGTGTGCCTCAGATAGCCCCTAAATAAAAATGTGTACTAGTTAAGTGAAAATGGACGTCATACTAAACTCCAAAAGATATAAATTAACTAATATTAAAAAACATACAAGACTAACAAAGGCCAGAGGCTCCTGACTTAAGTAAGTGCAGCGGGTTTAAACAATTTTGTGGGATCTCAAACCCCTATACCTCTAGCCAATTTAGAATAAAGAAACAAACAGCAATACGCTCAGTCTAGCTGAGTTTAAAAGAAGTCTGAGTCCGATGTCAGAATAAGTAACAAAAGAAACTAAGCAAAATGACAATGATACATAAATTAACAAAGGCCTACTAGCAATTACTGACATGCCAGCTCCAGACCTCAATTAAACTGATAAAGATTAAATCACGCACAATCCCTCCCGTTAGGAGTTTAGTATTATACCATAATAAAATAGATGAGAAAAACATAACCAGTATCATGCCAACAACTGATTTTAGAATAAATATTTTTATTTCCGATGCAGAGACCCTATGAGTGAATCAATATTAATACCAACATATTCCATTCTTAATGACCTAACAACAGTGTCGTAACTAAACCCCCTCTGAAAAAGTCTGTTTAAAGGTTTGGTTAGCTTTTGAGGTGATTGCCGACATTTTTGTGCTTTGTAAAGAATATTACCATATAAGATTGGATGTGAAATACCTGAACGTATAAGATGTCTGCATGTTGATTAATATTTACGAATGATGTCTTTGTACCGATGATAAAATTTAGTAAATGTTTTGACTAGTTTGTGATATCAAAAACCCTGATGTAATAATGTTTCAGTTATACAGAGATTTCTTTCGTCAAAATCAAATATGTTGTTACATTCACGAGCGATTCGAACAAGTTGAGATACATAAACACCATTAGATGGTGACAAGGGAACGTCACCATCTTAAAACGGAACATCTCTTTTATCATACATTTTGGTATTAAGCTTCCCGTTAACGATATAGATATCAAGATCCAGGAAAGGGCAGTGTTCATTGTTATTATTAGCTTTATTTAAAGTCAGTTCGGCAAGATACATATCTTTAGTGTACATACTAAAGTCGTCATTATTGAGAGCCAATATATCATCCAAATATCTAAAAGTGTTATTAAATTTTTGAATCAGATGTTGTTTCGATGGGTCTTTGTTGATTTTAGTCATAAATTGTAACCCATAACAATACAGAAACAGGTCCGCAATAAGTGGTGCACAGTTAGTCCGATTGGAATTCCGATAACTTGACGATATACGGAATCTGTGGAGTGAACAAAATTGTTATCTATTAAAAATTCAAAGGCAGTTATACTATCAAAGCAAGTCCAATTTACAAAGTTCTTTTGTTTGTTGTTACTAAAAATAGCCTAAAAGAGTTTGAACATATATTTTCGCATTCTAAATATTATTATATTCTTAATAAGATTATGAGACAAAGTGATATATAGGGTAGAAAAATCAAAATTTTGAACAGATTCGAAATCACCAATATAAGCATGCAATTTATCAAGTTCTTCCAACGAATTTTTGACAGTCCAAAAGTAATTAAGTCCACTTTTTTTCAAAGACTTTATTTGAACAACTTATTACCAGGTTTTTTATTGTACCAAATGTACAAGTAAGTAGAATAGGTAGTTAAGTATTGGAACAATGGCTTGAAGACGAAATAAATCTATATTTGTAAGGAGTTTTGTGCAGCTTCGGAAGCCAGTACACTGTTGAAACGTTCATTGCATTTGGTTCTGCTTGTAAAGAGGTAGCTAAAAGTTTATGTTTGTTACAGATGTCATTTTCGGAAAATGGAGTCAGTTGGAATGCTGGTGAATTGGTGATTTTCTTTTGCAGAACCTCAATGTAAAATTTACGTCAAACAATAATGATATTATTAGCAGCCTTATCAGCCGGGCAAACACAAATTCCTTGACGATTTCTTTTATCTTATATTTGATACGAGAAATAGGGCTATTATGTTGTTGTTAGTAGTAAAATGTTTTTTTTTAAATGTTGCATACGTATATCAACTATGTTTATTACTGAATTAAAAAAAATCTTAAGATTTCTTGTCAGCTTTTTCTCGTTTTATCCATCGAAAGCAGTAAGTACGGAGTGAGTCGTGGATGATGTTACGACACTCATTCCAATTAATAATTGACAGGGGACGATATTTGGGTCCTTTACTGAGGAATGATTTTAACTCTCGGTCACGAACGATGTTAAGGTCTCCTTTTATAATATGAGAACTGGGGCCATAAATGTATTCGGATTTACTTCAATTTTATGACTTAGGTGTATTGTCACTGATATTTACATCTTTACAAACTTCGCTGTAATTAAACACAGGAATTTGTTCTTTAACAAAATGATCATTAAAAAATACCGGCAATGTTTTCAAAACCTTTATTGACATACAAAGGGGAAACAGTTTAGAATAACAAAATGCAATTATAGTTCTGACGATTTAATACTAGGAATTCAATATGGAATTGTGATGCAATTCTCTTAAATTTGATGTAATTTATTAACAAGTAAAGAACAGAGCTTGGTTAATAGATAATGTCTACCTTTGTTTTTTGAAATAGAAATTAGGTCAGAAATATTTGTATTGTTGGTATGAAATTTTCTTTGATTGTGATTTATTATACGCCCATGAGAATGGTTTTTACGAACTGTTTTAGAAACTATATCCAAAATGTTAACAGAATCTTGCAATTGGACCTTCTTAGACAATGAATTTTCTCATCTTCTTTATTGTTAATAATAACCTTCCAGCCCCTTAATAGATCGACAACACATTCGTTCAAATGAAATCAAAAACCAAATCAGTTTAGGTAACACACTTTTTGCTTCAAAATGTGATTGAAAAGTTCGCATTTTGGCAATGGTTAGCAATACTTTGAAAATGGCGGCCGCAGTCGGAAGTAAACAACGAAACGACATGTATTTATTCAGTTATTAATTAAAAAGTAACATCTGAAATTTTTTTAAAATATTTACATATAAAAACTAAGCTGAAGTCACACAAATGACAGAAATTAAAAAAAAACTTGGTATGAGCAAAATCAATCATAAATTGAAACCCCAATTTCATATATGATAAATACCAATAACTGACTTAGAGGAACCAATTATTAAAAAAAAGAAAACACATAAGTCGGTGCAATGTGTCATTAGGGAACAAAAGTTTTCTAGATTGGTAAACGTTTCAAGACGGTAGAATTCAACTCAATTCAACTCGGTGTGGGGAACAGCTAGGGAAATATTTTTTTTTATTTCTTTATTTCTGGTTTGAACATACGACTACGATTTATCAAGAAACATGCATACTTAATATGTGCACTGTAAACTATGTCAATAACTGGTACGTCTGCAGATAAAATGTTGATTATTATGACAAATTTAGAACTAGTATCTTGTTTTAAAAATTAACCTTGATAATACTAAGAAAAAAAAGCGTAATTCATATAATAACAATACAATAATCCATGGCGACGATGGTTATCATATAAGTAGTTTATAAAATTCGGTAGATAAAATAATACATCATTTTGTATTACCATAACGACTTATTTGTTATGGTAAAACTAGCAGGAATCGGAAATGCTGAAATTTGTGCTGCTGATTAATTGTCTGATATCTATCCAAATAGTTTTCTGTGTAGATTGTTCTGATCGAAGATGCCTAGAGACACTGTTTAATGCAAGGGTGATAAAAGGAGAATATTATACAAGGTTTGTAATTATTGAATAAGCCATTAAATCTAAAGGAAAACTATTAAATCCTTGAAAAATCATGAACAATTAACTTATTGATTGATTTATGGTTGCTTAACATCCAACAATCAACTTAAAATGCAAGTAAATACTAAACCGAATAAAAAGTAGTCAAAAAAAGACTTTTCAGAATAAATGAAATCAACCAACAACAGTAAATGTTCGTATAACACAGCAATAAGTATGATTGTGAATGAACTAATTACGGAAATGAACAAAATCGTTAAAACAATAAAGGAGATATCTCGAAAACAATGGGAGAAGAATAAAACTAGTTATGTCACTTGATCTTGAACATACATATGTCAAAGCGGAGAAGCTTATGACCCTTGTGCAATCCCTTTGATTATTGTAGGTAGTTTTGTTAATCTACATTTGACCAGTCAAATGTCAACACCACACATCACATATTTCTACCTTTACCATATCCAAAAATGTAGTTAACAAGGAAAGAATAAATCTAAAATAATATTGGTCTCATCGTTTTTAATTCATTTATTTTGAAAAGAATGTTATGTTATGTTATTGTAATCATTTTTAAATTTCCTAGCACAGAACACCATGTTGGGCGCGTGATTTATGTTGTCTCACTAGTCTGTAAACGGGTTGTAAGTTTGAACCCAACAACGTGGTAGGGGCATTCGACAACAATCTGAATTTAATAGAATTGTCTGTTTTTCTGTCGAATACAGGTTTTCTTTTCGAAATAGTCTGAGTCTGAGCGCTGAAAGTGGCTTTAAGCATAAATCAATAACACTTTTCCGTTTTGAAAGGGCAGTTTTCTCTGGTATAGAGTGTGACCTTTATTTGCAGGTTTGAATGTACATGTAAGAATATGATAAAGTAGCATTACAATTATATGTTCAAGATAATATCAATGATTCTATGTTTTCCACATGTTAGCAAGTTTAACAACTCTAGATACCGACGAAAAACTAATCAACGTGACGAGGCGCCCATAGTTGTCCGTTTTGATACATAGTTTTATATTAGCTACCCACTTAAACATGTTTTGATTTTATTTAGTATGCGTTCTGAGTTGTGCTGTGATTATTCGACCTTGATTTTTTGTTAAATCCAATCTAGTTACTCATTTAAAATCAAACTGCAAATTACATTCCGTTTAAAAAAGAATTATGATCAGAGATTACAGACCTCTCGTGTGTGGGTTTTCTTTTCTTTTTCTCCCCTGTGTTGGCTCAAACAGAAACTCAGATATCGGTCTAATGCTAAGGAAAAAAAGATGAAAACAACTAAAGGCATAGTTTGTGTGCTTTTTTTTAAACAATATTCGGATGACATTGAAATATCGTCAGAAAAATAATCAAAAAAAGGACAATTCGAGACATTGATTTGCTTTTCCTTTAGCTGAATTTGCACAACTAATGATATTTTCAAACGCTGTGTATTCGAATTTCTTATTGTAGACCTTTGAGCAGCTCGTCATCATCGTCAGGGAGTTGGTGGTCTAGTAGAAGGAAAAAGAGACACGATTATCATTTACATCACGCAGGGGTTGTAGTGACAATCGACCGTTACGTGGAAGGAAAGAATAAATGGCTGATACACAAAGGCGAAGATTACGGTGATTCTTCTGATACTGTCATAACAGATGCCGATTCTATGAGTTCAAGGTAAGCTACATAGAACCGTCCCATATTGTAAAATTATGTCATTTAAACATGATAAATGATAGTAGATATCACCAAATATAGTTTCACCTTGACTATTTTCTATAGTAAAGAGGCATACATTTTAATTTAAGAATATAAAACTGGATGTATAGTAAATATAAACTTCATATTTGTCATGAATATATGCCTATAAAAATGAAACCACACTTTATAAGTTTTATGCGTCTGAAGTGGTTTTCTTGATTAGCCGTCATCACAAACGTTAAACACCAAACATTTGAAAGCCAATGATCTATAACAAGCGAAACTGTTGAAGATCTATATTACCAAAAAAGACCTTAAATAATAATCAAATATACATATAGTAAACTTATCTATAGGGAGTTGAAACTTCAGTTTATCAATAATTTCTGTATTCATAACTGACAATATTTTATAAATCATGTTACTACTGATGCACTGACTACTGATCGGATGATACCATCGGGGATTGATCGTCCACCAGCAGCGGTATCAACCCATTGCTATAAATTAAAGACAACAATAAATAGTTTTTCTGGATTTACCTTCATCAGGAACGATCATAAATATATACTGAATGCTGGTTTTACACATGTTCAATTTTGATGTTTTTTTTTTACTGAAACCATTTTTTACACTAAGGAACTGACGAAGAACACTTCTAAATTTATTAACTAATATATTCCAAATGAACATGTGTTAATTTGTATTGAATGAAATAGCTTACAGATTGAAATAATATGTTGTTTCTTTTACAGATGGACACTTGCAAGAACCATATATCCCAACTGCCGTTATACTGTGAACCGTTGCATGAGAGCAGCAATGATTAATTTCGAATATTATGTACGTGGACCAAACTGTCAAACCGCTGCAAATGGAATATGGGACCTACTAGAGGGGTGCTAATTGATAATGAAATATTTTCCAGAAGCTGAACAACAGATATACAATATATTTTTTCCTATCTCTGTGTACCCCCCCCCCCCCCCCCCCCAACCCCCCCCCCCCCCCCTGGTTTTTTATCATTTAAGATTTAATAGTGTTTTTAATAAATACAAGTACATAATAAGTCATACAATTCAAACATGTTTGATTGACCTGGAAATACATAAGAAATATCCAATTAATTTATGTTATCTTTCACTTGAATACTAAATAATTTTTTAATATTTGTTTTGGAGATACGAAGATTTGTTCACCCAAGACATTTTACTTTCGGAGAGAACAAATCTTCATATCCCATTAAGCCAAGGTGAAGGAATGTTTTATTTCCTTACCTATATTTTTTTTTTATTTCTTGTTTTTTTTATAATTTGCTTACAATTTTTGTAATTCGCGTGTATTTATAGCTTAACAAGGCATTAATAGTACCAAAAAAAGCTAATTATTTGTTTTATGACTCGTTTTTATGTTCTGCTGTTACGTCTGAAACCAATGTGAACGCATTATTGATCTTATTTCCACTATTTAAATTAATTCCTATCACTGTTGTGTCACATAAAATATAAACGAAATTTTAAAGCTATTTCATATAATTGATCACAATATAATTAACAGATTTTTATCTATCGAGAATTAAAGTAATGATACTCAAATCATCGTCTTTAGATTTCTTAGATGTTTACTTTAGCTATTATAATACATAAACAATTGAAAATCCTTTGTGTATATGCTGTTAATTTTGCAGCTAGAGCAAGGTGAGCTTCATATCAGACAGTTTGTCATGATCTGTCGTCAGTCGCTGGTAAATGGATACCAATATGAAACTGTTATTTTGCAACCATTTGAATCTTAACCAATTTGAATAATATGAAAATAAGGAGACGTTGTATCAATGCTCATGAGAAAAACCGTCAACTCAAGAAAGGACAAAAAATAAAGAATTCCAAGGACACCGAACGGTTTTTTACAATGAGCAAAACCAAAAATCTGTTGTATGCTATAAAGTATTCTGAGATAAAACCAACCGGCTGATTCATAATACAACACTGAACGGAAAACAATTATGGGAGCCATCAACAAACGCCAACCATGAAGAAACAGTGTCATTTTCAGACATATATAATGCAGACAATCCAGTATTGTTAAATCATCCGCTTGCAGCCTATTGGTGTGTGAAAAGCATTTGCTGTGCGTATTGCAGTGTTTTTTCTACATTGGCTTGAGGTACAGGGGAGGGTTGAGATTTCACAAAAAATGTTTAACCCTGCAGCATGTTTGCGCATATCCCAAGTGAGGAGCCTTTGTCCTTTGCAAGTCTTGTCGTTGTTTTTCATTTTAGTTTATTTATATGTTTCGGATTTTAGATTTCTGTCATTTTTCACTGAACTAGTACTCATTTTTGTTTAAGGGTCAGTTGAAGCCCACCTCCGTTTGCGGGATCTTCTCGCTGTATTTTAGACCATTTGGTGATCTTTGGCTGTTTTCTAACCTTTGGTCGAGTTGTTGACTCTTTGACACATTACCCATTTCCATTGATCTCAAATTTATTCCATAAATTCGGTAGTTTTTTTTGACCCGTACAAAACATTAAATACTGAATTTCCTGAAAAATGATCGAAGACAACTGGATTGATCTAGTCAAATGTCTGAACAGCACAAAGAAACTTAAAATTCCTTAACGTGTTTTTGTTTCCAACGATATCAAAAAACCAAGTTAACCATTTAATTTTTAACTAAATTTATCAATGTAAATCATAAACATTACACAAGCTAGAAAAACACAGCGTTTAAAAACAAGAGGTTCATTAGAGTCTTATATCGCTCACATTTAATTTCAGTTTCATGCATTTGAGTTATTTGCTGATCTTACTTTGTGGATCATTTTTGCCGTTTATACTTTTTTGAGATAAAAGCCAAAATGTACATTTGACACCTATAATCTATGTTAAGCCATAGTGGCCATGTCTGTTGATGGATCAAAACTTCGGATATTATTTATAAACCAGTTACCTTAAGAAACATGCAGTAAACTTTTAGAAGTATTAGCCCCAGTAGTTTCAGAGGAGAAGAGTTTTAAATGTTTGTAAACATGATGAACAAATTGTGAAAAACTGTCGTTAAAAGGCAATATCTCCTATAAAGTAAAATCACAAAAATACTGAACTCCGAGGAAAATTCAATCGAAAGTCCCTAAAAGGGGTCAATTTACAATTTTGGTCATATTAATTGCTTTGTCGATCCTAATTTGCTGAACATTTTTGCTGTTTACAGTTTATCTTTATCTTCTATAATATTTAGGATTATAATCAAAATCTGCAAAATTTCCTTAAAATTACAAATTGAGTGGCAATAACCCAACAATGGGTTGTTCGGTTCGTCTTAAAATTATCGGGCTGCTAGATCTTAACTTATTAAACATTTTTACCCAATGTCAGATTTACTCTAAATGCTTTTGTTTTTAAGATATTAGCCAAAAACGGCATGTTCTATTTTTAGCCATGGCGACCATGTTTGTTGATGGATCAAAACTTCGGATACAATTTATAAACTAGATACCTTAACTGCTTAAGGAACATTCAGTTAAAGTTCGAAATATGAGGCCATGTAGTTTCGTAAGAGAATATTTTTAAATGTTAGCAAACATGATGAACAAATTGAGTAAATTGTCCTTAAAGAACAATAACTTCTTTAGGGATCAATTAACAATTTTGGTCATAGCAATTTCTTTGTAGATCTTCGTTTGCTGAACATTATTACTGTTTACAGTTTATCTCTACCTATAATAATATCCAAGATAATGACCAAACACTACAAAATTTCCTCAAACTTGCTAATTTAGTGGCAGCAACCATTTTTTAGCCATGGCGGCCATGTTTGTTAATGGATCAAAATTTTGAATACAGTTCATAAAATTGATACCGTAAGGAAAATTCAGTTAAAGATTGAAGGTACTTGGTCGCTGTATGTTCAGAGGAGAAGATATTTGAAATAGTTTACGACGACAGAAGACGGACGACAACGGACGCCAAGTGATCGCATAAGCTCGCATGGGACCCTTCGGATCCCGTTTTGCTAGAAATGAATACGAGGTAATGTGTGTGTTTTTCTTAACAAATGCCTACGAAGTTGGCAAATGAAAATGTCATCAATCAATACGCACCGTCTCTGAAGATAAAAAATACAATGGCAGAAAACTGCACTTTGTGAACGCTTCAACAGATGATCAATAACCGTACATTCATTTTCCACATACCATATTGTGATAAGGTTGCTAATTTCTTTTTATCCTGTATGATGTAGCATTCTATTTACTTGTATATGTATTTTGTATTTTATGCCGATATTGAGGAGTTCAGATTAAAGAAACTACTGCATCTGTAGTACTTGTGGTTGGTTTAAGTCATTTCTGCGTGTTTTTTGTCTATTTAAGAATTCGGTGGTGATGTCAAAATTATTCTAGTCTATGTTAAATTTATTCAAGCCTGGTTTAGAATGGAGCGATTAACAACTAGAAAAGCGGAAGGTACCAAAATGAAATTCAAAACCAGAAGTCAAAACTAAACTGACAGTGCCATGACAAAAAACGACAAATGCACAAAAAGCAGTACAAAACACAACAAAGGAAATTAAAGATGGAGCAACACGGAACCTTACAAAAACTGGAATTATCTCAGGTGCACCGGAAGGGTTATCAGATCCGGCTCCACCTGTAGCTAAGGTCATGTTAATACATAATCATGTTAATACATGTTAATACATAATCAGTGATAAGTCTAATTCGGTAAGTCATATTTGAGGAAAAGGATTGCAGTAACCACAAATGGCACATATCCGTCGTTATTTATGAAACAAATATTCCATAACAGTCAACCAACTCGTTATGGCGTTCATAAAATTTTCGATGAGATGATTTCAACTTCACCACTTGGAACTCTTGGTTCAATAGCCCTTATAAGCAACAACCATCTATCGATAAAATCATATGAGCACTACATGCTATGGAACAAGACTTTGACAAATAACACCAGTCACCAGTAT